GCTGAAAATGTTACAGTAGACTCTGGTTGTGAACACAAAATTAAAGTCCATTCACTCAAATGCAATACTCAATACTTGTTGTCAGCTTCAAAGAGTACCAGTTACCTGTAGATTGGCAGTTTCTCTTGTTCATCTTGTACATTGAGACAGTCAGAACCAAGATGAGTGGTAGAATGCCAAAGCTCCACTCAAAAATACACCAAGAACAGGGCTCATCTGTAGAGAGACAGACACCGGAAGACATTACAGAGTTTTTAGATGTTATCTCAATGTTGATTAAAGGACATGTTTGGGTACATTTAAGTCTATCTTAAAACATTACTAACATGCACATTTGTACATTGAGAGAGTTATTGGTTGTTGTAATGTTGGCTCCTGCTGGCCACAAAGAGATTCCTTCCTAAAGCCATTTCAGTGTAAGTACAGAGGGATACCATTCTGAATAGAAATTTCATTTAAAGCTAATATGGGGCCTTGGCAGTGTGAATTAGACAAAGAAGTGGGTATCTTCCAACGATATTACTTTTGGAAAAGAAATTGCATCAAACATGACTTTTCAGTCTCCTACAGTGGAGTTGCGATTACAGTGTCCAGTAATTCCAGTTGGAATGTGAGAAAAACTTACACAATATAAACGCGTATGAATCGTATTTTCAGATGAGCAGCAATATTTCTGCGTTGAAAGGGGTGTACTAACTTTCAATGTCCAGCTTTGGTCCCGTCTCCAAAGCAGTATTGTGTCACATTGGAGGCAAACAGCCACAGTAGTTAGTCCCAGCATGAGACAAGATTTTCATTTGGAAGTTGTAGACACGGGGAGTTGCGTGTTTGTTGTTGGGTTCCTTCTCACATGAATCATTCCTGCCTCATTTGGATGTAAATAAAGGTCACGGATGAGATTCTTACAGAGGTTTTGACCAGTAAACACTGTGTTCTTCCATCACAGGTCCCAGTGTGTACTGTCAGTTTCAAGAGTCACAGAGCCTCCTGGTGGCTTGATGGTCTTCAGATGCTGAACTGAATGGAGACAAAGCTGGGATCTTCAAACCTGAACCCTTTACACTGACAGTAATGCCCTCGCAAAATTCAAAGTCATATAAATTGCTCCCTACGCAGTAGTAAGTAGCTGAGTCTGAAATTTGCAAATCTGAGATCTTCAAGTGATATTTGCCGTTTTCAGTATCCAGGGAGAAACGTGGATTCTTAAAGTCACCATGAAAGGTACCGTTGTCATTGTGCCTGTAAAATGTAGACACCAGCTTTGGTTGCTGTCCCACAGTTTGTTTGTACCAGTAAAACATCACTGCTACATCATCTTGACAGAAGCATGGCAAGGTCAGAGTAGCTCCAACATCAGCTGATTCAAACTGTAATGATGATTGTTTTAAAGCTGTCCCAGCAGCTGAGAAGAAAATGAAAAAACAAAACAAATACACAATTTAATGCTAGTATGTTTCAATTATCTGTAGAATGCATGAACATGTTACAAGCAAACATATGGTTATAGTATATAAAAAGGCTAATATATATATTCGCAGTATAGTATAGTCAACAACAGGAGGTAACAAATCACAGCTTACCCGTATTCGCCACAAGCAGACATGTGAAATACAAAGCAAAGTTTGGAGCTGTCATCATGCTTCAAATGCTGTGATGAATGAACTGAACCTCTTCACGATCTCCACTCTTCACAGAAAAGGCTGTGTTTGATTGGCCAATCAGATTGTATGTCCTGTTTTGGAAACAGTGAACACACTTCAGTGCCCCCTACCTGGGCCATGCTGGTCCTTGATAAGAGCTTCATCCGCAGCAACAATAATAACAACAACATAACTTTTGAACCTGACAATAGCTTTATGAGAAGAAATAAAAAGCACAGTTTAGGATATATATAATATAAAGTATTTTGACAGATTTTCTTGCATGCTGGCAAAATGTTACTACTTCTAACTGATCAGGATGCCACTTAATTTTCTAGCATGTGGGGCACCCTATATTGCATCGAGTTTTCTACAGTTTAAGTGCACTATTAGTGCACTGGAAGTTTTCTCCACTAGAAGGGTGTCCTAGAGGGCACTTAATCATGTTTTATCTACCATAGTAGCATCATAGAGGGGACTTTTGCAGCTTTTTTTTTAACACGGGGGTAACATCGGGGGAGTCCACCGGTGCATGTATAGTGTGCAGTGTGTGACAGATGAAAGTGTGTTTACGTAGATACGTACCTACCGTGTGCAAACTATACCATTGCTTTCGGCGATGGTGGTGGTGGGGGGGTGGCCTATGTTTCACAGAGTAGTCAATAAGTCAATTTCTGAAATATGAGTTAAAGTGAGTGACGTTTATGATATTGTGCCACTACGCTGCAATGGTTATGGCACGAATAGCATGCATGCCAGTATCTTTATTAAAGTGAATTATATCATACATCAAAAATACATTTTACGCATGATCCATGATAAAGAAGATGCAGTAAATAAGAAATGCAAGGTAAAAATAGCATATTTTTAAGAACCCCAAATTGTGCTTTCAGGGGAGCTCATGTCTTCATTAAGTGGAGCCAAACTCCCCCTGGCCCCTGTGGTTCACACCCTGCATACATGTATAGTCAGATGAAAATCAACGCAATGCCTAGGCCTACAACCTACAAATCTGGAAAAGGAAAAAATAAAAACTGACTTCCAAAAACAAAAAACAAATACATAAACATAATAATCATGATCAGTAATTAACTGCATGATGTTAAAACTGTTTATAACGGCTTCCACTGTGACTAAAAACACAATGCTGATTGGTCGAAAGATGTTAATTAAGTCACTTCTTCTGTCTTTTTTCACTGCTATGTGAGCCTGAACACACTAAAACTATATAACAATATATGATAATTTATAATACATAACAATTAGTGTTACAGTGAATTAAGTAGTCTAAACATAAGAAGACGCTGCTCACACATCACAGTGTTACCCATTCAGTCCTGTCCTGGTGAGGGCTTGTATTTCCCATTTGTGTACATGTTATCTGCACTGCCCTCATTTCACACAGCTACCATTTCAAAATGACTTCTCTCTGCTCGTGGGTTGTCTCTGAGCTGCTGTGTGCTGTGGCTGGAGGACGCAAGCCGGTCTTCCTGGGTTCAAGCTAGGACTTAAGTTTCCACCAGCGGAAACCTGCTGACAGTAGTTTACACCTCATATGAGCACAGGAGTCACAGCAAAGATGCTGAGAGCCGCCCAGTTTAAAGGTTGCACCCACCGCTTATGTTTCTGGTCAGACGGTATAAATAGATCAAAGGGTTTTTTTTGAAGATGCTCTGTCTGTGACTGCATCCAATGTTGTATATGACAGCATTTTCATTTGGCACACACGTTTTGCTTTACAGACTGCACATTTGACACCAAATCTTTAAGCTGAACCCTTTTTTAACTCACTGTAGTGGCTTTGTGTTGTTAGCTTGCCTTTTCTGTTTGTCATTTGTGAAGCTTCCAGTGGAGGTGGGAGAATGAAAGGGAAAAATTGTCTCTTTTTTTAATCTGCAACTCCAGAGTGCTTATAATATTTGTTTCGTCATTTGCAGTGTTTGTTCCTGTGAGGTCCTCTTTTATTCTGTAAAGCAATAATATTTAAAAAGCTTCCATAGTTATTACCTTTGACCCTTTTTACTAGTTATTTTACTTAGTTGACCACTGTTCATTTCATCATTCATGCCATTTGTTTCATACAATAAAGTTGAATAGAACGTATCTGTGTTGCTGAAAGCTTTGAAAAGTTACATTTGACATTTCACAAAGTTGTGAGTAAATTTTTCCAGAACTTGTGTGGAATCTTGTGGTGCTATCTAGCGAGCCAGTGTGATCATCATCGGCGTCATCAACACATTGCGATGCACAATGCACAACAACCCATAGAATATGACACACCCACTTTGGTTCTCAATTTTGGGTCACAACTTTTCAGGTCCTATATGTTTTTCGTCACAATGCTCCAAACATTTCAAAATTAGGTTCTTCAACCGGAACGGAGCAGGTTCCCTGTAGGTGGGAAAGGCCTAACAGTGAGTGAAAATTATTCTTAAAGAGGCACTTTGCTCATTTTTAACCTTTTTTTCCAAGATACTAATCATGAGAGTTGCTGGTCTATGACATCCACAATACTGGCCATTTCTCTACAATGGTGTAGCCAATTACTGGAGCTTAGGTTTACTATGTCTTTCATTGACCTGGCCAAAATCTAGCCCAAATGCTTATAACTTGGCCCATGTCCATTCCAAAACCTTGCCAAATCTGGCAGTCATATAGGGTAACATTTCACAACACTGAAACAATGGACCCGACTGCGCTGTCAACCTCTAATCACTCGACTTGTTATTTGGCCTATTAATTTACTTGGTGATGGGACCACAGAATTGTGACGTGAAAGAAAAGCAGGTCAAAGGGAAATTAGAAAAACTACATCAACGTGTTCAGCATGCCAGACAAATTCAGACACAGAAATGCATTCAGTTATTTGTCATGGAGCAATTATTTGTAATTATAGCAGTTTATTATTTCCATGTTACAATGTTAGTCGACTGACAGGCCTTTTGCCAAGTATCACAGCACAGTAAAATCTACAGTATATCCCATGGTACAGCTCTCCAGAGAATAGATAGTAAAACATAAGCGATGAATTTAAATTCAAGAATACAGTTAAATCGAAATGTTAAAAAACATCTGCAATGCTTTGTCCAGAGTAAGCAGCACTGATCAATGCAAGATATTTCCAATCCATTAGGTAGGCTGGTAGATATGGCCATCACTGAAAATTGGGCACATTTAAGTGTTTCGTATTAAAATATACCATTTGAGCTGCAAAGATGTGAACTTGCTGAGTGCAGCTTTAATTACAGCCATGAAAAAGTGTTTCAGTGCTCCGGTTCCTGATTTGTTCATATTTGGCAAAGATAAAGAGCTCTTTGAATGTATTACAAACTTGTTTATGTAGCACTGCTCCATCCATCTTCACTCTCTCTGGTTTGTTGAAGATGAAACGTCTCCGTTCTGTTGACAGTATTTGATTTTAGAATAAACTACAGAGTCTCCACTGTATTTCACTGTAGCTGGTCTTGCGGGGAGGCCTCTGGGGGTCGAACACACAGCTGCATAGATAACTGCATCACTAGTCTGTGAGGAATAGAAAGTGAAGACTTGTCATACAGAATGGCCATATGCAGCTAAACTGTGACACTGTGAGTGCTCTTACTCTTACCTGATTGCCTTCAGAAGATTCATCAGTTGCCTCTGCAGAAACAAAGATAACTACAGTCAATTCCAGTTTCTGCACAGTGTAACAGAATGTGGATCTGACTGTGCTGCAGATATGAGCTGATCAATACAACATGTAGTTTTAAATACCTGTGGAATCTTTCCTCTGACTCTTGCACACAGTCCATATCAGAATGACTGTCACAATCACAAGAAGGATGTTTGACAGTATCAGTGCAATAACGGCTGGACTCAGTTCAACTGGTTTGGTCCAAGCAGTGTCTGCGTTAAACAGAAGAAAATAACTATCAGTACAAAACAGAGGAAAGCAGGAAGTCCTGAAATTGGAGGGCCTGCGGTGTTTACTGAGAGAATGTTTAGTATTTTGCTTGAAAAATTACTTCACACACAATTAATTCACTATGAAAAATTTGTTGCTGACTATATGATATCAATGTTTTTGTCTGCATTCAGTAAAAGTGAAAGGCATTGTATGTGGGACACGGTCAATTGTGCAACTGTGTAAAAAAACAATTGTTAATGTTAAAAATATGTTTTGTGTATTTATTATTTATATTATTTATTAAGGTATTTTATGGTGACATCTTACTGTGAATAATAATCCTGGTCCCATTTCCAGACTGTGAATGTCCACAGGACGTCACAACACAGTAATAGGTTCCAGCATCATCAGAG